ATATATATATATATATATATATATATATATATATATATATATATATATATATATATATATATATATATATATATATATATATATATACACTGAATATAAAATAAATTCAGTCATTTATATATATATATATATATATATATATATATATATATATATATATATATATATATAAAACACTACAGCTGAATATAAAATAAATACACTAGTCATTTATATATATATATATGTGTGTGTGTGTGTAATGTGTGTGTGTATATATATATATATATAGCACTACAGCAAATTCACTAGTCATTTATATATATGCAATGTATATATATATATATATATATATATATATATATATATATATATATATATACATATATATATATATATAAACACTACAACTGAATATAAAACAAATTCACTACTCATTTATATATATATGTATATATATAATGTATATATATATATATATATTAACACTACAGCTGAATATAAAACAAATTCACTAGTCATTTATATATACATATTGTATATATATGTGAATATATATATTTGTATAATTAGGCAGCAATCCTTCCTTTATGCATGTTTCGTTAAAAACGACAGACAAGGTACTACAGTTGAGCTTTTTATTTAATTTTTCTTGTGTTCTGACAAGAGCTTTCTTTTCTGGACAAAGAGTGTGTAAGAACTGTCCGAATGTTCTGTTTTTCCGAGCGCTTTCGGCTATACTTTTAGCCATTATCAAGGATGGTTCAATGATGGATATTCATTATCAAGTAGAGTGTGTGTTCTATGTATGTTCAGTGTGTGGTAGTGATGTTTTAGTTTCCGAATACAGTTAGCACATTGTGGCCTTGTTCATAATTGATATTGTTAAGAGTTGGCTTTTTCTTTTTTATTATTAGAGCTTCCATTATTTTAGTCTTTTTTTTGCAAGTGGATGCAGTTAATATATTAGTGTTTTCTACTAGTATGTTCCTAATAGTGTCAGGTAAATCTGAGTGTGTGTTTAAATGTGTTCTGATGGAACTGTGATCAGATAGGTGTAATGTAAGACGTCTGGATAAACATGTGGTTGTGTAGCCGATGTAATTATTTATGAGTCCGGTTTGGTGAGGAACGCAGTTCCTTAAAGGGCATTTGAACTCATAGATAATGTTCGCTCTTTTGTAATTTTGACTTCGTTGGTGTGTTGTTATTTTTTGAGGATAAGGTTGGCCGTCTTAAATTTTTTATAATAGATAATAAGTTTGATTTTTTTTATCCGGGTCAATAGGAGTAGTATATTTCTTTATAATATGTCTTAGAGCAGATTCATCTTGCTTGTAATTAATATGCATTTGGTTTTTTGTAATAAATGTGTATGTGATTTTTAGTTGTGTGTTCGCTATCATTATTACTTGCTTTGGGGAGGAATATTCTAATTTGTTGGTCTATAAGGTAGTTAGGGAAACCGTTGTTAATTAGTGTTTGTTTAACGTTGTTAAGTTCTTTGAGAAAGAGTAGTCGAGAGGATGAGTTCTGGTGGGCTCTATTTAGAAAGTTTTTATTACAGCTATTTTGTACCTAAGTGGACATTCGCTTTTGAAATTAAGGTGGCACGAGTTTTTTGCTAGTGGGTTTTTGTATAATGATGTAATGAAAGTGTTATTGTTATGTTCAACGAGGATATCTAAGAATGGTAGTTTGTTTTTTTTGGCTAAGTTCATATGTAAAATTAAGGACGGAGTTTTTCTCAAATGTGGTCTTAAGTGTCTCTATTTCTTTAATGTTATCAGCTAAAATGAATATATCATCTACGTAGCGAACATAGATTTTCGGTTTGTGGACCTGTGTAAATATGGTATTTTCTACGTGGACATATAATAGTTAGAAAGCATGGACCCAATGGATTTCCCATACTAACACCATTAGTTTGGGTATAAATATTGCCATTATGGTCATAGAAGGGACTTTGGTTTGTGCATGCGTGTAGTAATTTTTTTTTAGGATAGGTGGTTTGATGGATGGCGGAGGGATGGAATTATTATTGTATATAGAGTTGAGGATAATATCGATAGTTTTATCAACAGGGACGTTTGTGAATAAGTTTTCAACATCCAGTGACGCTATTATACCTTGATTTGTTCCATTTGTAGTTTTTAAAAATTTGTAGGAATTCGTGGGTGGAGGTGATGCTGTAATTGGTAGGTAGGTATGGAGTGATGATATCGTTAAGGAATTTTGATAGCTCGTAGATAGGTGTTGGTATCTGGGATATATATATATATATATATATATATATATATATATATATATATATATATGAAGAAATATAGTCTTAAAATTGCTATATTTATGGGATAAAGTGCTCAATATCAGAGATAGAGCGTGTAAATATAAAAGTGAACATATAAGTCAACACTTTGAGGCGACAGTCTGTTTCGTGCTATATTGCATATAGCATGAAACAGACTGTCACCTCTATGTTCACTTTATATATATATATATATATATATATATATATATATATATATATATAAACATTACTGCTGAATATTAAACAAATTCACTAGTCATTTATCTGTGGTCGCTTTTTATGACTGACGTATTTTTTCTACAACATTAGTATTATGTTTTCTATGTTCGTGTTTTGCTATCATTTCTTTCCATATATGCCCCTTTCTTTTGTAGTTTCCAACTGGCTAACGATAGGAGTATATTGACGCATATTTGGGTATGATGGGTCAGCTGGTCCTAACGAACGTCGCCGGTACTTTGTTTCAATAATTTATTATGCAGTATAATAATAATAATAATAATAATAATAATAATAATAATAATAATAATAATGTAACTCATTATCTGTCTATATCGCTGAGAATAGGTCTTATGATTACTTACAGTATTTACATTGTTCGGTCTATTATCCTCATCGTCATTGCCATATTCACAACGTTTCGGCTGTTGTACGCCCCGGCATTCTTCAGGTGACTGGAATTCCTTTATTTCCTGAAGAGGCATGACACGTGGAACTAGAACAATCTACCCCGGTGGACGAAATAAAGGGTTCGGTTCGGAATTCCCATCTGCGTAAGAAGGCCGGAGCGTACAACGGCCGAAACGTTGTGAGCATGGCAATGAAGATGAGGATAACAGTCCGAATAATGTAAATAATCTAAGTAACATGTAACTCTTCCAATATTTTCAACACTTAAGAGAAGTGCGCGAATTAAGAAAAAGAAAAGAAAAACACGGTGTTTGACAAAGTTAAACAATATTTCGACAGTATATCTGTCTTCTTCAAGTTATATTTAAAATATTTTTCAAGTATAAAAATATATAAATTTACAGTCATTCATGTTGACGCGTTGGTTACCATTATGGCCTTTTTACATTACATGTCAACCAACGTTTGTACAAAAACTTATAAAGTTTTGTAGATTTATATATTTTATACTTGAAATTTTAAACATATATATAACTTAAGACACTATAACTTATAATAGAGAGACTGTCGAAATATTTTTAACATTGTTAAACACTGTGTTTTTTCTTTTCTTTCTTAATTTTGTTTTTCTTGTGTTAATAATAATAATAATAATAATAATAATAATAATAATATCGAAGTCCTGAAGTGGATTTGGACACGTGCAGCCTGTTTGGTAAGAGATAGAAAATGGTACCTACATCATTAATGTTTGTGGAATGCTTACGTTGAAAGAATACAAGCACTGCCATGATAAAGTGGCCTCTCATCAGCATTGGCAGCTGTTTAGAAAGTATGGACATTAAGAAGACGAGAAATAGTACCGCCAAATGCCATAGAATGTGATCGAAAACGATTAAGTCAAGATCATGTGGGATTTTAACAACCAAACTGACAAGAAAATGCCTTCTCGTCGACGTGGCTATTTTTGGTGACCATAATATCAAGTCAAAGAATAATCTGCATTTACTTCCTCCTCTCACGTTCATACAACAACCTGATTCAGTAATCCGCTAGCTTGATTAGCTCATGGGCCTAGTGAACATTTAGTGAAAATAAAGAAAAAATGTTTGTTGTAATCACTGCGATGCTAAACTTCATAAATAACAACTCTCTTTGAAGAGACAATTGCGTTACATGATATTCCACACGTCTAACATTGTGCTACTTGTAAAATCTGAAATTCGTTGAATATAGATCTATTTTCCACTCTTCCACAACACAGGCAAACCTACTGTTTGTTGTTCAGACTTTTAGAGACACACTCTTGTGAAAATGAGCCCCGATTTTATTCAGTTTATTTACAGCTCTTAATTAGAAATTTTATTTATCTTATCTGAAAGAATGTCACTGTATCATCATCATCATCATCATCATCACTCTCATGACCGAGTGCGGTCGTACGGTCACTGCTCAGCTGAGTATCTCCCTCTATATATATTAGTTGTATGCCAATATTTGAGTCTCAGTAATCTTCCAGGTTACACAGTAATGTTGTTACAATTTTCCTGTTTGCATCTTACATTGCTTAGGTTCGTACCCTGATGGATGGTAGAGGAAGGTTTGTTGGCTTTTATGGCTGGGCCTTACAATTATAAATTACTATTCTTGATCATGGTTATGGGGATCTTCCAACGGGCGTGTTCCTTGGTGTCTTGCAGTGAGTGATTTACGACGGGGTCTATGTATCCCCAATGACACTGAGCGTGTGTATCAATATACAATTTACGATTTCCCAAGAGCTGATAGAAGTCGTCTACTTGTAAAATCGACATCACCTAACTGGTAACTTTTACAATGGTTAGCATTCTTGCTTCGTAAGCCATTTTTATTGACTTCTTAAAATACTGTGTGTTCTCAAATAGATGATACTAAAGAACAATCTATCTTTATTCAATTAAATGTTTATTTTTCGATCTGTTTTTATTCTCACGAATAAGAACAGCATACGGCCTTATTATAGGGACTTCAACCTAACGCAATAAGAATGGAGTTCGTGATCAACGAGATAGCGACTGCATGTCAATGAATATTGGTATTTATGTCTCTTTTCACCGTACATGTATTTTTAATCATTATTTACGTACATGAAGATAAATATAGTACAAGGTGAAAGGTATAGAATACCTAGTGAGTTTTGAACTTATTTGCTACGATGTCAAACCCAACACGTTCTGCACAGCAATACTATAAATACGTTAACACTACATTTTCGTGTTCATGAAAGATGCTTTTATGTTCGAATAGTCTATTCTAGATAAAGGCATAGCAACCACACAGTTTGTGGGGGCGACTATGCTTGTTCAAAATTGCTACTAACTTATAACTATTGTGAAAAGTTTAGCAACAGATTTGTTAGCGATAGTCAATATTTAACTAATTAACAACTCTGTTCGATACTAGGACTCATAAGTCTTCTTCTTCTCCTCGTTCTTCTTTTTCTCCTCCTCCTCTTTCTTCCTCCTCTTTCTTCCTCATCTTTCTTCTTCTTCTTCTTCTCTTCGTTCTTCTTTTTCTCTTCTTTCTCCTCCTCCTCGTTGTTGTTGTTGTTCTTCTTCTTCTTCTTCTTTTTCTCTTCCTCCTACTCGTTGTTGTACTTCTTCTTCCTCCTCCTCCTTCTTCTTCTTCCTCCTCCTTCTTCTTCTTCTTCTTCTTCCCTTCGTTCTTCTTTTTCTCTTCCTCCTCCTCCTCCTCCTCGTTGTTGTTGTTGTTGTTGTTCTTCTTCTTCTTCTTCTTTTTCTCTTCCTCCTACTCGTTGTTGTACTTCTTCTTCCTCCTCCTCCTCCTTCTTCTTCTTCTTCTTCCTCCTCTTCCTCCTCCTTCTTCTTCTTCCCTTCGTTCTTCTTTTTCTCTTCCTCCTCCTCGTTGTTGTTGTTGTTGTTCTTCTTCTTCTTCTTCTGCTCCTCCTCCTTCCTCTTGTTGTTCCTTTTCTTGTTGTTCTTGTTGTTGTTCTTCATTAAGCAACGAACATGTTAATTTTTCATCATTCATATCTCCTACCATTTCTGCCTAATGCTCTCATCTTTGTTATTATTATCACAATCTTTTTGATTCACAATTGTCCCACGGGACAACAGCCTAGTGGATTAAATGGTTCGTGAATTTAGGGGCCTAATAATTATGAGTTCAATACCTCATACAGACTCAGAGGAAATAGGGAGGGCAATAACTGTGATGTCCTAAAACACGAACAAGATGACTTATCTCCCCTAGGCAGCAGAATGAGAACAATCTATCTTCATAGATTAAATAAAGGGATCAGTTCGAAATTCAACAGTAACCTGATAAAAGCCAGAGAGACCAACAACCGAAATGATAAAAATGACAATGATGAAGATAACAGTCCGAATGTAAATAATATAAGTAACAATAAATTCTCATCCCAGAAATCCACAGAGAGTTCATTTCTTTCATTTGTCATAGAATCTCTGCAAAATAAGTGGCCCAATGAGAAGGTAATGTTTCCTGATATAACTTTTCATTACAAGATCATAGAGTCTGAATTACAAGAAATAGATTGTTGGGATTTAAAAATTTCACAGGCCATACAGTTCAATAGTTGCATTTCTGTTTTATAATGTTTAATATTGTCAAATGAAAAGTAAATATCTTGATGTTAATTTTCAAAATGCATTATTTTGTCATCACTTTCTCCTACTGAATACGTCCTTTATTCACTTCTTAATCAACCGGATTGACGCTTACCAATAGACAATAAGAAACTACCATATTAAACGCAACATTCTCGATGGTTAACACCAACCAATGAAATGTCATCCCGCTAAAATCCAAATCTCTATCTGGGAGCCAATCGTCAGGTATAAAAAAACCCTGGCGCCAGACAGCTCAAGGGGATACATTCCAAGAAGTCATTTCACAATCGACACGATTCCTCGACACTCCGACGAACATCTCTGCTCTTTGTAGATTTTATATCTCAAGAATATTCTATAAGAATATTATTAACTTTATTTCTACAACCTTTCATCTGTTAAACCACGAATCGAGTGGGTCTATTTCTCATCATCAAAATTCTATTTTGAATTCACTATTGTAATGTTGTATTTATCTAAGTCAGTGGTAATCTCAATCTCATATTATTGATTGTGGCAGAAGGAAAAATTAAAAAGAAGAAACGCAGAATGATACAACAACAACAGCAAAAACAAAAACACCAAAATTTCTATTTTTTTCCTTTTTTCCAATGGTGGCCACAACAATTTCAACATGAAAAAAAGAGCATGGAATTATATCGCCAAATATATTTTTCAAGAATTATTCTTTCTTTGAGTTTCCTAAATCAGCCAAAGAACTAGCAATAAAGGTTTTGATGTTCTCTTGAAATTTTAGCATGGCAAAGTAAATTATTTATTCATACTCCATTGGCGAGTGGGTAGCGCATCAGCGTTCTAAACATGAAAACCGGGTTCGAACCTCACTATTTGTGAAAAAGGAGACTACCGGATAATATAGGCACCGTTGTGAAGTATCCCAAAACCATAAGAAAGGGTTGAAAGTGAAATTGGGTAGATGCTTAACTGTTGTTTGGATAGGGTATTAACACGATGCCATAAGATGTGGATAGAAACTCTTTAGCCGTGGTTAGCAATCTATACGGAGATTGTATCTCGGCTATTCTCAAAGATGTTTAGGCTTGAAAAAACTAAAAATGTTTTAAAATCTATGTTAGAAAAAAGAAGACTTAACTCATATTTATTAATGATCTGTCAATGGCGGATATCGGTGAGGATCCAAGAAATATAAGGCAAGTAATGCAGGTGAAAGTTTGATAAATCTGATAAAAATAACCATTCAAATATTATCAAAATTATTCTTTCTCCGAGGTTTATTTATTATTTTTCTTTCTTAATATATACTTTTGCTTTACTAATGAAATATGATACGAGATGAGATCTGATATGTATATTTATGCCTTACCGAGATATGATCAAAAAGTATCCGGACTGTTGCTATGGTAACGGAGGTAAAGTACGCAGACTAAATCCGCTTGACACAGAGTAATTTTGAACTCAACCGCGCATGTACGTTAAATTATAACGTTCTTGTTCACTTTTGATGATTATTGCAGTTCTTGAAATGAGTGTGTATAAAGTGTGGTCGTCTCACAACAGAGGTTCCATTAGTGACCATGAATTGTTTTGGTCCAAGAACAACATCCCCGCCGCCCAGGTCCGACAACCACCATATTCACCATATCTCTCCCCTTGTGTCTTACTCCTTCCAAAATGAAAGAAACAAGATTTGAAGACGTCGAGGAAATCCAAGAGTATGTAAGGAGGCAGCTGCTCACTATCTCCAAAAAGGAGCTCCAGAAATGCTCCCATCAATGGAAATCACGCTGGATAAAGTAGGTGACTTCAGAAGGAGACTAATTCAAAGGAAATTACACACCAAATTCATATGTGTTTCAGTTTTCTTTTTAGAGCACCAGTCCAAATACTTCTTGATCAGACCTCGTAAAAGTTGAAATCATTTTCCGATTGATTTATACAGGTACATTTTCTTTGCTTGACAATCAATAAGAAATAAGAATTAATTCCCAAAATTAGGTATAGTTTTTAATTAGCTAATTACTGTATATCGCTAACAAGTTGTTAAATATTTTCTCAATAATTGTATGTTAATAGCAATTTAGGATGTGCCCATGGTGTAATAGTTCGGGACAAGAAATCGACACACCGAGTTCGAATTCCAGTTGATTTGGTGATTTCTGTTGCATTTACTTTCGGGTAAATAACTCTTCTGTTCCCTTAATCTATTCTTCAGGCTTGGTTAGCAACTAGTCTTGGATAAAGAAAATTTCTTAATGTAAAACCATATGTAGCTATGACGAATCGCACACTGCTTATTCAACAAAAGGATTTTTGAATTCACAATGATTCTATGATTCCGACATTGCTCGTTGTGATGGATGGTGCAATTTAGGCTTTGTCTTCGGTGATAGACAAAAGTTTCGTGGTTTCAAAGACTTTACTTGGGATAGACTTGGTTTGAACACATTAAAATAAGTGTATTTGTAAATAAGTTACATAATGTAAAGTTATTTTCGGAAGGAATTTATGTTGTTAATCTAAATTACTGACAATGACAAAATAAGTAGTTAATTTTGATTCTTTGAAATCGAACGATAACACATTTTTATATCATCAAAATAAAAGGAAAAAAGATAAGGCATTAGTTATAGCAAATTAATAAACATCAGTTTTTTTATGAACTGGGGCACGTATTTTGAACAGTCAGTTGATCAAAGGTCTAATATGTTGCGTATTTTTTAGGGATGGAACGTTCATGTAACATGCGAAATCCATCTGATTTTTTAAAATTCAAGATAAGAGAACAGACGTTGCTTTTTCGGCGAGAAATTTGCACAAATTTCACATTAGGGAACGATGTAAAAAAATGTTTTCTTTGGAAACACAAGAATACTTCTTTCTAGCGGTTTCTCTGATTTTTAATTTTATATTTATTTTTGACGATTTCAAAGACATTTTCGAAACAGCAACCTGCCGTTTCCCATCTGGGAATTAAGAAGGAAAAAGGAAAGAAAAGTTCATGAATGAATTCAGTGAAGGCCTTTTCTTCTCACTAGTTACATTATAAGATACCAGTTTTTTGTATCTCATTCCTCTCTCTCTCTCTCTCTCTCTCTCACTTGATCATTTAGTCCCTACTTTCTCATCCCCGTATATGATGCCGTGTGTATTTCTCAGTGACGGGATTTTAGCATTAACCAAACAATCACCACACAGAGCAGGGTTTGTGAGTAGATTTCGGAGTAAAACATTTGGAATATTGTCTGGCATAACTAATCCCCTGTGATGGATACGCATGAAGGGAAATAACAACAATTTTTCATGGGAGGAAGAGTTAGTACAGGCCTATATATATATATATATATATATATATATATATATATATATATATACGTATGTATGTATATGTGTGTGTGTGTGTGTGTGTGTGTGTGAATAATGACAAAAAGAAAACTAAGCCGATGCGTTCCGTCTTCTGATGGACTTTATCAATCTCTCCCTCTCAATATATATACATATATATATATATATATATATATATATATATATATATATATATATATATATATATATATATGTGTGTGTGTGTGTATGTGTGCAAGTTTTGTTGAAAAGGACTGACAAGTTGTAGTAGTTGAGTTTTTTTATATAATTTCATACAAACACATGAGAAATTATATAAAATTCAACCACTACACATTGTAAGTCGTTTTATATATATATATATATATATATATATATATATATATATATATATATATATATATATATATATATATATACGATTTTATGTTTTTATATGTTTTTTCATGATATCTAGGAAAGGTAAAGTATTGTTTGTTTCTATTTCATATGTAAATTCTATTGTATGTTCGACTTTGTTTAGTTTATCTACAAGATCAATTAAATCAGTACCACGGGGATATATTAATACAGAATTATCAAACAAATTGTCAATTAATACAGAATTATGAAACATACTATCGGAAGTATGTTGTTTAGGTAAAATATTTTGGAAAAGATCAGATTCGAGAAGTTCTAAGAAAATACATACCATCATTTCACTTAGAGGAGATCCCATTGCTAATCCACATTTTTGTTTATAAACATTATTGTTAAATGTGAAATAGCATTGATTGATGATTAGACGGCAGATTTTTTAAAATCATTTTAGGTATTGGAAGGGAGAGGTTTATTTTTTATCTTAAATGCTTTTTTAAAAGATTTAAACAGTTATTATCTGGGACGTTGGCGCAAAAGGATTTTTATATTTAGACTGTCTATGAATTTGTCTGTCATATTTCTTTCCCTTGGTTTTTCAACTGGGTTGCCTGAGTTGCTTGTTCCAAAGAGATGGATTAAAAGTCTGTGGGTAGCACTGTCAATACCTGAAATAATGGGGCGCATTGGGATGCCTATTTTGTGGGTTTTAGGGAGATCGTAAAGTTTGATCTTCAAA